TACTCCTAGTGGCCCCTAAGTAACTCTTTCAGTGACCAGTTTCTAGATTGTCTCTTGTTGTTTTAATGACTTGATACTCGTGTTTGTTTTCTTTTGTTTTGATGTGGTTGGGATGTATCAGTACTGCTCCCGTTTTTAGTAGTCCAATTCTGCTAAGCAAAGGCATATATTTTATATATAAAATCTATTCTCTTTTGTTATCTCCATGCTTGTATTCTCTGTTTCTCTTCTCTATCATGTTGTGTGCACATATGTGGCATGAGTTAGCTAGGCTAGACTTCTTTAAGCTATTTGCTTTCTTGTGTATTTTTAATGATGCCAAAAGGGGGAAGTATAATTGAAACAGAGATCTGATTAAGGGGGAAGCATAAAGTCAGGGGGAACTTCTGAAGTTCCTGTTACTTCAACTGGTTATTTTTCGCTCTAAATACATGTTATCAATATCTAAGTTTGTCATCATCAAAAAGAGGGAAATTGATAGGTTTTCAATGTCTTTGCCTTATGTTTTGATGATCTAACAAACTTACTGTCAAGAACCAGATAGGGAACCTGACACACTTGGTACACATTAAAAATAAACAGAATCCAGCCAAGACTCCAGCTAATGTGAACAACTACAAGTGTAGAAAATAGAGAAACAAGACAAGGACCTGATCCCTTGGGTTTCCCTGACAGCAGTACGAAAGTCAACTGTGCACAGCTGGAAAGTGACTGCCACATAAACAGTGCACACAGTGCTGCAGTTTTGCAGTCACTTACCTTTGACCTACCAAATGCTTACATCATTAAAGTGATGTCATCAAGAGTGTATCAACTAGAGCATTATAACAAAACATCACTTGAACACTTGATTTTCACTTCAAGCATTCAAGCCTTCTGCAAACAGCGAACTCAGTTCTCAAGAGCTTGAAGAACAATGTTAAACGCTACTACAGACCAGTTCCTAAATGGAGTATTTTATTGTCCTTAGTTGAGTTGTAACTTTGTGATTGTTCTCATTGTAATTCCTAAATTGCTTAGTTAGAAGTGTTTCTTAGGAACCCGTTTCTAAAACCATAAACTTTCTGAGTTTGTGTTGTGACTAGAGTTAGTCATAAGTTAAAGTCTTTGTAACTAGTGAGTGACAAAGTGGCTTGTGGTAAGTGTATCACAAGTTAGTTGAGTTGAAGTCTTTGTAACTAGTGAGTGACAAAGTGGCTTGTGGTAAGTGTATCACAAGTTAGTAGAGTTGAAGTCCTTGTAATAGAGTCGTTACACAGTGGCTTGTAATAGTGTGTTTACATGTTAGTGAAGTTGAAAGCCTACAAGTGTAGGTCGTGGTTTTTGTCCCCTTGAGTGGGATTTTTCCACGTAAAAATTCCTTATCTCAGTTACTTACTGTTTCATTAGTATTCTCGGTGAAAACACATAAAGGACCAGGTACTCTATAATTTGGTGGACTCATATAAACTAATAATTGGTATCAGAGTGGGTTCCTCCTATCAGGCTAACACCTAGGAAGTATCCGTATGGATGCTCCACCAACTTTTGAAGAAGTTCAATCTACGTACAGACCACCAAGGTGCAATGGACAATACTATGGGTGGTAGAAGACAAGAATGCATGATTTTATAATGGTTGAAGACTCTGAGTTGTGGGATGTCATATGTGATGGTCCTTACATCCCAACAAAGGCACTTGCAGAACTTCCATTCTCAATGCCCAAAACCAGAAAAGAATACACCGACGCAGACATGAAAGCTGTGGAGAAAAGTTTTCGTGCCAAAAAGATTTTGGTATTGGAATAGGACCTGATGAATACAATAGAATTTTTGCTTGTGATATTGCAAAGGATATGGGAAGCTCTGCAAACAGCACATGAGGGAACCACTCAAGTAAAGCAATCTAAGATTGATATGCTCACTACCGAGTATGAACTATTTAGGATGAAGGATGATGAATCTATTCAAGATATGCACACAAGATTCACCCATCATAAATGAGTTACACTCACTTGGTGAAACTATTCCTAGGAACAAGCTAGTGAGGAAAATTCTCAGTATCCTGCCCAGTTCTTGGGAAAGCAAAGTGGATGCTATTACTGAAGCAAAGGACCTGCAAGAGCTGACCATAGATGAGCTGGTTGGAAATCTGAAGACCTAGGAGATGAATAGGAAGATAGACATTGAAAGAAGAGAACCAAAGAAAGAAAAGAACCTAGTACTCAAAGCTGATAGCAATGACTCGTGTGAGGAGGACAATGACATGGCTTACTAACCAAAAGATTTCAGAAGATGGTTAGAAGAAATGGAGGAATACAAAGAAGGGGCAGCTCTAGCAAACTAAAGAACTATGATCTCTGCCATAAGTGCGGAAAGCCTGGGAACTTCATCAAAGATTGTCCTCTCATAAAGCAAGAGTACTCCAAGTTTAACTTTGAGAAAGTAGCCAAGAGGAACAGGTCGGTTCCTGATAAGGACTTCAAGAGGAAGAGATCTGCTGACAATGTGGTGAAACAGGCTCTTCCAGCATGGGGAGACTCCTCTAGTGAGTCTGAAGATGAAACTGATACAGTGGACAGCTCCATGATGGCAGTTGAAAGTGAGGAAAATGAATATGATTCAATATTTGCTTTGATGGCCCAATCAGATGATAATGAAGACGATGACAACAGTGAGGTAAATTTCAGGGATGTTCAGAGAAATCTGAAGTCCTATTCTCCTAAGAAACTCATGTCCTTAGCTAGTGTATTGATTGATGCCTATCATAGTCTTGTGGAGGATAAGGACGCTTTGACCTTAGAACTAGGAGAACCTGAACAAACCAGTGATGATCTGGTAGTGTGTATAGTTGATCTGAAGGAAACCATTTGTGGACTGGAGAAAGAAAAATTTGTTTTAACCAAAATAATTGCTGACATAGAAACTTAAAGAGATGACTTAGTGGTTGTAGTTGTTGACCATAAGGAAACTATTGAACACTTCAGAAAACAAAGAGAAGCCTTGATGAAAAGAGTGACTGAGATTGAGGAAGAAAGAGATGATCTCTTGGTAGTGATTGCAGACCTAAGGGAAACAATAGAGGGACTAGGGACTGAGTCAAAACCTGGAAATTCTGGAAAAGGAAAAGAGGTAGCAAGTGAGGAACACATTAGGCTTGAAAATGAGTTGAATGCCGTGAGAACTAGTCTGTGTGTTGAATCTGAGAAAAACAAACATCTCCAGACTGAACTGGAAATAATAAAAAATGATCTTCAAAAGTCCCTAAAGTGGACCTGGTCCTCAGAAGCTATCACTGCTATGTATGTTAATAATTGTGGAAACAGGCAGGGAATAGGGGTCCAAAGGGAGAAAACTCCTTACAACCCCCATAGCAAGTACGTTAGTGTTCCAGATAAATGGCTGTGTACCCACTGTGGTAACACTGGGCATTTCAAGGAAAATTGCCAAGCCAGGGTCCAGTCCTTTTAGAAAAACAAAGTGTTTGCTGAAAATGTAGGTACTAAAAGGGGACCGGGTTCCACCCACAAAAAATGCATATTACTTGCATGGACTAAGAGAGCTCTTATTCATCCTCTTGCCTACTACAAGAGACCCAAACTTGCTTGGGTTCCTAAAACTAACTCTTGATCTCCTTGTGCAGGGAACAATGAAAGGAAGCAGTCAACAATGGTTCATGGATAGTGGATGTTCAAAGCACATGACTGGGAACACCATGGACTTTCTTTCACTAAAAGCCCTGCAAGGAGGGAGTGTATCTTTTGGCAATGGGAAAAAGGGGTACATTCTTGGAGCTGGAAAAGTCGGGAAATCACTCACTCACTCTATTCAGAATGTGTACTATGTCAATGGCCTTATGTACAGTCTCTTGAGTGTCTCTCAGATCTGTGATAAAGGAAACAAGGTGGAGTTCTTGTCCAAGATATGTGCAGTTACTAATCTGGTAACTGGTGAAGTGGTACTTGTGGCCAAGAGATACAAGAACATCTATGTTGCTGATTTCGAGTCCATACAAAGTGGTGATCTGAGTTGTCTGAAAGCCGTTGATGATGATGCTGAACTCTGGCACAGAAGATTGGGGCACGCAAGCTTCTCTCTTCTGAACAAACTATTCAGAAGGACCTGGTCCATGATCTGCCCATGTCAAAGTTCAAAGTACAGAAAGTATGTGATGCTTGTGCTAGAGGAAAGCATGTGAAGTCCTCTTTTAAGTCTAAAAAGGATGTTAGCACCTCAAACCAACTCGATCTTCTGCATATGGATTTATGTGGCCCTATGAGAGTGCAAAGCAGGGGAGGAAAAAGATACATATTTGTGATAGTGGATGACTACTCCATATTCACAGAGACTCTGTTTCTTAGAACTAAAGATGAAACCTTTGAGGTGTTTGTGGCCTTTGTGAAGAAAATCCAGGTGAAGATGGAGTCTAGAATCGCATGTATTAGATCAGATCATGTAACAGAATTTGACAATGCAAAATTTGATGAGTTCTGCAATGAAAATGGCATTACTTACAACCTCTCAGCCCCAAGAACCCCCCAGCAAAATGGAGTAATGGAAAGGAAGAATAGAACTCTTGAAAAAATGGCAAGAACAATGCTGATCGACAGTGGGATTGCAAAGAACTTCTGGGTTGAAGCTGTCAACACTGCATGCTACTTGGTGAACAGGTGCATGATCAGCTCTCTCCTGAACAGAAGCCCCTATGAGTTGGTGAATGGAAGGAAACCCAAGCTGACTCACCTAAGAACACTTGGGTGCAAATGCTATGTTCTCAACAATGGAAAGGATGAGCTTGGTAAATTTGATGCCAAGAGTGATGAAGGAATCTTTCTGGGGTATTCTTCTAAAAGCAAAGCTTACAAAATATACAACAAACGGACTCAATGTGTTGAGGAAAGTGTTCATGTTATCTTTGATGAGTCCTATCCTTCCTGTGAGAAAAGTGCTAAAGATGATCAAGATGGAGAGCCCTTACTGGTTCCTGGTGAAGTCATTGACATGACAAATGGAAAGGCAGATATGATGAGCCAAGTGAAAGAGCCGAGTGGAGACAATGCTGCCTCTTCTTCAATGGAACCAGGTACCTCAACTACAACCACTGAAGCTGAAGAAATACCTGAGAGAAGAACACAAGAAAACCAGTTAGATATACCCAGCTCCTCTACAAATGAACCTCGAATGCCTAACTGGAAACACAAAAGTTCTCATCCTCTTGACAATGTAATCACTCCTCTAGATTCTGGAGTACAAACCAGGTCAAAAGCAAGAAATTCACTTGCCTTCTCAGCCTCTCTCTCCCAAATAGAACGCAAAAATATCAAAGAAGCCCTGAAAGATGCAGATTGGATTACAGCTATGCAAGATGAGCTGTATCAGTTTGAAAGAAACAATGTCTGGCACCTAGTACATAGACCCTCAGATAGAACCATTATAGGAACCAGGTGGGTATTCAGGAACAAGCTTGATGAACATGGAAACACTACAAGGAACAAGGCCAGGCTAGTGGTTCAAGGCTACAATCAGGAGGAAGGGATTGATTATGATGAAACATTTGCTCCGGTCGCTCGCATGGAAGCTATTAGAATTCTAATCGCCTTTGCATCTCATATGAAATTCCCCTTGTTCCAAATGGATGTCAAAAGTGCATTTCTGAATGGACTTCTTAAGGAAGAAGTCTATGTGAAGAAACCTCTAGGGTTTGAATGTCATGAACACCCTGAATATGTGTTTAAATTAGACAAAGCATTGTATAGGTTGAAGCAGGCTCCTCGAGCTTGGTATGAAAGGCTATCAAAGTTCTTCTTAGAAAATGGTTTTACAAGAGGGAAAATTGACAACACCTTGTTCATAAAGAAACAGGAAAGGAACCTGCTCATTGTTCAGGTCTATGCTGATGATATCATTTTTGGGGCAACAGTTGATTCTCTGTGTGAAGAATTTGCAAAACTCATGGGAAGTGAGTTTGAAATGAGCATGATGGGGGAGCTGAATTTCTTCTTGGGTCATCAAGTGAAGCAGTCCACAAAGGGTACATTCATTTGTCAGCAGAAATAGATCAAGGAGCTTTTGAAGAGGTTTGATATGGAAGCATCAAAAGTGATAGACACTCCCATTGCAATGGCTACTCGACTGGACATTGATGAAACTAGATCTCCTGTGAATTAAAGTATGTACAGAGGCTTTATTGGGTCTCTTCTCAATCTCACTGCCAGCAGACCCGATATTGTCTTCAGTGTTGGGCTATGTGCAAGGTTTCAATAGAATCCCAAGGAATCTCATTTGAAGGCTGCAAAAAGAATTTTGAGATATCTTAAGGGAACACAGGACTTAGTCTTGTATTACCCCTCAGGTGACAGTTTTAATCTCGTTGGGTATGCTGATGCTGACTATGCAGGTTATCTTGTGGACAGGAAAAGCACTTCTGGAATGGCTCACTTTCTAGGGTCATGTCTCATCTCTTGGGGCACAAGGAAGCAGAACTCAGTGGCTCTTTCAACAGCTAAAGCAGAATATGTAGCTGCAGCATCCTACTCTGCTCAACTCCTATGGATTAAGCATCAACTGGAGGATTTTGGGGTGTTTACTGAGTGTGTGCCTCATCTATGTGATAACACTAGTGCACTCAGCATGGCTAAGAATCCAGTTCAACACAAAAGAACCAAGCACATTGACGTGAGACATCATTTTCTGAGTGACAATGTGGAGAAAAGGCTGATCTGTATGAAGTTCTGCAGCACAGAAGACCAAATTGCAGATATCTTCACCAAAGCACTGAGTAGGGAATATTTTGAAAGAAACAGGGTGAAACTGGGGCTATTGAAGCCCAATTGAGAACCTGATTCCTTATCAATTGACTATGAAAATCACCTTCAGGTAAAACTAGCTAAAGTGTTTTCTGGCCAAGTCTAACTCACTTCAATACCATTACAGGTAAACACGCATGATGAGTATAGAAGCTGTAGATGCATTGCATGGATGATAAATGAGGATTGAAATTTTCAATAACAGGTCAAGAACCTGGTTCTTGTACCAAAGATTAGTAGTTCTGTGCATTCTTTAATACACGTCTTGAAAAGGTACAAGTATCAACTGCCATGTCATCCACCTTTTCAGACTCTGCTGTCACGTCCCTTCACTTCAAATCGTTCCATCTCCCTCTAAAACGTTGCATCTCTCCAAGCACAACCGCCATTTCAGAACCAGTTCGTATCTCTCTCTTCATAATTATCCACTCTTATTAAAAACTTTCTCCTTCTTCACAAACCACAGTCTTCCATTAGAACTTCTCCAAAGAACCTTCTCTCTATCTCTTCAATGGCTGACATAAACTCCGAAATCCCTACCTCAGTCATCTCTAAAACTAATAAAACCAGTGAGTCCTCCGTTCCCAATAAGACTTCTGTAACTACTTATGTTATTATCTCTGACATCACAACTAACCCAGATTTTCCGTATCCCTCCAGTTAAAAGTTGACTATCCCAGAAACCCCTAAAAGTGTTGATCCTTTTTCTCTATCTTCTGAGTTTCCCACTGATCAAGGAAAAAGTGGAGAACTAGGTAAAAGTCCTGAGGTCGCAGAGGTTTCCGCCATTATTGCTTCAGATTCTGTGGTGGCCATGGAGCCTATTGAGGAAGAAAATGTCGCGACCATCTTTGCGGTATCTGTTGATGGCGTCTTGCATGCAATACTTTCTCAGAGGAACGAGATACAGGGCAAGGGGGAAGAATGAGCCATGGTGGCTGTTGAGGGCTCTGCACTAGCAGAAACTACTGGGACCTCTCGTGAGGAACCCTGCCTCTCTCCGGAGGAGGCAGGTCAGGGTTCTCACTCCCAGGCCAGTTCTGCTCCTGCATTTGCTGTTGCACCCTTGGACATTCAAGTCCCTGAGATGAGGTCTAGTGATGAGGAGGATCTAGACAACATTGCTCCTGATACTTTCATAGTCATGTGAAGGGTAGCGTCCACTCCTGAGTCTTCTACTAAGCGGCCTACTACTAGGTTGCAAGCAAAGGTAGCCTATAACTCTACCCTTCAAAAGAGCAGAAAAAACTGTAAGAGGAAAAGGAGAAGATTGGTGAAAAACAATGTAATAGTGTGTGATAAGGTTGTTCCAGTGGTGGAGGTTGAGGAGGAAACAACTGAGGAACCTAGTTCGCTAGTGAGAAGGTCCCAGAAGAAGAAGGAATCTGCTTCCACAGAGAATGTTACAACCCCAGTTCAAAGTTGAAGGATGTTGTGAGTGAGCTCTCCGTTTCTGATGAGGATGTGTCAGTCAAGTCTAAGGGAAAAGGAAAATCAAGTGGTGTGAAGTCTGGCAAACGAAAATCTGAAACCATTAAGGAACCTGGTTTTGTGAAAAAGATGAGGAGGGAAACTAGTTTTGCTTCAGAATGCTTAAGGCACCAAAAGGTCCTGCTGGGTCGCACTTTTGACCCAGCAATTTTTGATATGGCTGGTATGCGTCAAGTTCTTGCAATGGTTGAGTTTTAAAGATGGGGGCATCTGTTCCAAATGGATGCACCCAAAGTGTATAAGGATGAGGTTCAAAGCTTTTATCCCAGCCTCTTTCCCGTTGATACTGACAATATCTGTGCCTTGGTGAATGAGGTGGACATTGTGTTTGACGTGAGTCTGCTTGGAGATATTCTAAAGGTTCCTACGGTTGGTGTGTCTAGTGTGAAAGATGCGTGTCAGTGTAATTTCCGGAATGCTGTGGTAAAGGATTACGCGAACCAAAAGGGGGACCAGATTCACAAGAAGGCATTACTCCCTATTTATGACTTGCTCTTCGAGTTGGTGAACAAAGTTCTGTTGCCTCGTGCTGAGAGGAGGTCCATGACTTCTAAGTCTGACCTATTTTTGATGGAGCAACTGGATGGCTTTACCCCTGTCAACCCGCCTGCTATCATGATTGAACACATGCAAAAAGTGGAAACCTTTAAGGATTGTAATCATGGTCTTCCATATGGGTTTCTGCTCATACAAGTGTTTAAGTTTTGAAGGTGTCGCTGGGAAAAGGCAAGGTAGAAACCATGAAGCAGACCTTCTCACAAACAACGTTGGAAGAATGTGAGTGCATGGAGACGAATGGGGGGTTAGGCAGTACATCAACCATATCACAGCTCATTAATGCTTAAACTATTGCAACTGAGGAGATTCGAAGGTTGAAGGCTAGGAATGCTATCCTGGAAGGTCAGCAGGCCCAAGGGGCTCCGGAGTCAAATGGGGAAGTGACTCCTCTAACAAAAGAGAATGCTGATCTCAGGGCACAAATGGAGAACCTCTAAGCAGAACTGCTCAATGAGCAAAAGTTGGCCAATGCCCGAATAGACCTAGTTCTCCAAACTCTTGCTGCAGCTTCCATGCCCTCTACTCCTAGTGCCCCCTAAGTAACCCTTTCAGTGACCTGATTCTGGATTGTCTCTTATTGTTTTAATGACTTTGTAGTTGTGTTTGTTTTCTTTTGTTTTGATGTGGCTGGGATGTATCAGTACTGCTCCCGTTTTCAACAGTCCAATTCTGCCTTTGCTTTTTAAGCAAAGGCATATATTTTATATATAAAATCTATCCTCTTTTGTTATCTCCATGCTTGTATTCTATGTTTCTCTTCTCTATCATGTTGTGTGCACATATATGGCATGAGTTAGCTAGGCTAGACTTCTTTATGTTGTTTGCCTGCTTGTGTATTTTTAATGATGCCAAAACGGGAAAGTATAATTGAAACAGGGATCTGATTAATGGGGAAGCATAAATCAAGGGGAACTTCTGAAGTTCCTGTTACTTCATCTGGTTATTTTTCGCTGTAAATACATGTAATCAATATCTAAGTTTGCCATCATCAAAAAGGGGGAAATTGATAGCTTTTCAATGTCTTTGCCTTATGTTTTGATGATCTAACAAACTTACTGCCAAGAACTTGATAGGGAACCTGACATACTTGGTACACATTACAAATGAACGGATTCCAGCCAGGACTCCAGCTAATCTGAACTGCTGCAAGTGTAGAAAATAGAGAAACAAGACAAGGACCTGATCCCTTGTGTTTCCCTGACAGCAGTACGAAAGTCAACTGTGCATAGCTAGAAAGTGACTGCCACAGAAACAGACAGTGCAGCAGTTTTGCAGTCACTTACCTTTGACCTACCAAATGCTTACATCATTAAAGTGATGTCATCAAGAGTGTATCAACTAGAGCATTACGACAAAACATCACTTGAACACTTCATTTTCACTTCAAGCATTCAAGCCTTCTGCAAACAACAAACTCAGTCTTCAAGAGCTTGAAGAACAAAGTTAAACGCTACTACAGACTAGTTCCTAAATCAAGTATTTGTTGTACTTTGTTGAGTTGTAACTTTGTTATTGTTCTCATTGTAATTCCTAAATTGCTTAGTTAGAATTGTTGCATAGGAACCCATTTGTAAAACCATAAAGTATCTGAGTTTGTGTTGTGACTAGAGTTAGTCATAAGTTAAAGTATTTGTAACTAGTGAGTTACAAAGTGGCTTGTGGTAAGTGTATCACAAGTTAGTTGAGTTGAAGTCTTTGTAACTAGTGAGTGACAGAGTGGCTTTTGGTAAGTATATCACAAGTTAGTTGAGTTGAAGTCTTTGTAATAGAGTCATTACAAAGTGGCTTGTAATAGTGTGTTTACAAGTTAGTGAAGGTGAAATCCTACAAGTGTAGGTCGTGGTTTTTGTCCCCTTGAGTGGGATTTTTCCACGTAAAAATTCCGTATCTCAGTTACTTACTGTTTCATTAGTATTCTCAGTGAAAACACATAGAGGACCAGGTAATCTATAGTTTGGTGGACTCATATAAACTAACACTTGTCGTGCGAGATTATTGACTTCGAAATTCTAAACTTCTATCTTCTATTCTCTCACAGATGGTGAGGACACGTGCTACCGGAGATGTCCAGGCACCCGCGCCCCCTACTAGAGCCGCTAGAGGACTGGGACGCACACGTGGTGAAGCCAGAGCACCCGCGCGAGCTGCTACAGAGGAGCCACCAGCAGCTCCAGCCAGAGCCCAGGCGCCTGATACGCCTCCTACTAATACTACTCCAGCTCACCAGGAAACCCTTGCACAGTTCATGAGCATGTACAACACTCTAGCTCAGGCAGGGTTGATTCTCCTTGCTGTAGCCACATCTCATGCCGTGGAGGAGCACAGACTCCCGCCACCATCACTCTAGAGAAGCGGGTTCAGGTTGATCAGATCCCAGAGGTTATACCGGTACCGCTTGTAGCCCCAGCTCAGCCCGAGGGTAGGGCAGCTGTTTTAGAGGAGGAGCAGCGGAGGCTTGAGAGGTACAAGAAGTACGACCCTCCTACATTCAGTGGTCTAGCATCAGAGGATGCTTAGGGATTTCTAAAGGAGTGCCACCGTATCCTCCGTACTATGGGTATAGCAGAGTCGAGTGGGGTTTCTTTCCCTGCCTTCCAGCTTCATGGGGCAGCCTATCAGTGGTGGCGTATTTTTGAGTTGGACAGTCCGGCTGATGGAGCTTCCCTCACATGGGCCCAGTTTTCGGATATGTTTTTGAGAGAGCATGTCCCTCAGAGCCTCAGGGATGTATGGCGTGCGAAGTTTGAGCATTTGCGCCAGGGTACTATGACTGTTTCGGAGTATACTGTCCGTTTCGGTGACTTGGCTAGACATGCACCGGCCTTGGTTTCTACAGTTCGTGAGAGAGTTCGCCGATTTATCGAGGGGCTCATTCCCAACATCAGGTCTAGCGTGGCCCGGGATCTAGAGATGGATATCGCCTATCACCAAGTGGTGAGTATTGCTAGGAGAGTAGAGGGCATGCTTGCTCGGGATAGAGAGGAGAGAAAGGCCAAGAGGTCTTGAGAGTCAGGCTATTATTCTGGTGCCCATGCCCTAGCTGCAGTTCATCATGGTAATTGTTTTGTGATTCGCCCCGTTCATTCAGCTCTTCCAGCAGCCAGTGGTATTCCAGCTCCTCTTAGACCTTAGGAGCCTTATTATGCACCTCCAGTATCTAGTGCATCTCCTGCACGGGGTGCTTTCAGTGGTGAGTCCAGCAGACCTAGCTCAAACCAGTCATAGCCTCCACGCCCTCCCAAAGCTTGTTTTGAGTGTGGCGACACATGCCATATGGTGAGGGATTGCCCTAGACTTAGGAGGGGTGTACCTCCATAGACTTCTCAGCTACAGCGTGCTCCACAGGGTTCCCAGGCTATGATCACAGCACCGGTTGCTACCCCACCTGCTCGGCCAGCTAGAGGTGGAGGTCGGGGAGGTAGAGGTCGCCCTAGAGGGGGAGGCCAGGCTAGATATTATGCCCTCCCTTCCCGTATAAGGGCTATTACCTTCGATTCTGTCATTACAAGTATTGTTCCGGTCAGTCATAGTGATGCATCGGTTCTATTCGATCAAGGCTCCACTTATTCCTATGTAACCTCTTATTTTGCCCCGCATTTGGGCATATCTCGGGATTCTTTGAGTTCCCTTGTTTATATTTCTACTCCTATGGGAGATTCTCTTGTTGTGGACTGTGTTTATCGGTCGTGTTTGATTGCTCTTAGTGGTTTTAAGACCAGAGTTGATTTATTAATGCTCAGCATGGTAGATTTTGATGTTATCTTGGGCATGGACTGGTTGTCGCCCCATTATGCTATTCTTGATTGTCACGCCAAGACCATAACACTGGCTATGTTAGGTGTACCACGATTAGAGTGGAGGGGTACTTTAGATTACACT